GAAAATGTAGGTACTGAGATTTATGAAAATTTCTTGTTTGGTGTCACAGTAATTACAGAGTGAAAGCTCAGCCCGACTGCCCGGACAGATGTGACCGAGACACCCAGGCTATGATGCCAGTGACAAATGGTTAACTGATAAGAAGAAATGGAGGGGGCGACAGACTGAAGAACAGGTCAATATCATGCTGTCATGAAGCCATTTGAGAAACATAATTAATCTATTACTCACCTGGCATCATCATTCATTGTACAGTGGTCAATAGGTGCCATGAAGCTCACCAGCTTGCTATGGACATGATACCTGAATAGTGCAGGAAATAAGCAGGCAGCACATTAGTAACTATTAATGAAAAGGAAAATGTGGCTGCTTGAATAGAAACATAGCAGCCCCTGAAATGCAAAGCACTGGCCTTGCTGGTGGCTGATATCCAATGAGTCACGAGTTGTAGCTGGCAATTCCCCCTCCCTTCCCCCCTCCTCCTTTCTTATAACAGGGACACAAGAATAATCAGAGGATACAAGGAACTGAATAGCAAGCAAATCCTTTTTTATCACAGCTAGAAAGAGCATCCATTAATTGTGTTCGAGTACCTAATCAGATTCCCAGACAGACAACCCTGAGAAGTCAGAGAGAGAAACAAGAACTCGTTTCCAGCCTTCCATTCAGCTGCTGTCTTAATCACCTTCTGGAATTTGTGCCCAAAGAGCCCACTGCAGGCAGCAGAAGCATCAGAGCATCAGAGCTTCTCAAGCATCCATCTGCTATCACTTCTTCTTTGCTCTGTGGTATCCAGGGCCCTAAAGGATATCAAAATCCCACTCTGCTAGCCATACCTGTAAGTTGGGAAGTCCTACCCTGAATAATGAAAAGCAGGCACAGAAGGAGACGGGAAAAAGACCTGTGCAAAGAAGAGATGGGGCATGCCCAAGGTGATACAGTGCTGCATCTGTCTCAGCTTCTGATCCACCAAAGTATTTCTGCAAGCTGTACTGCACCTCCAGATACAGGATCCCCTTCCCGCTTTCCCCACTGGGCTAGGAACTTGCAGTAGCTTTTCATGACTTATATTCAAGGACCTGACATATAAAATTTAACAGAGTACTGAAAACCTCTGAATGAAAAGGTGGCTTTACATGCTAGCGTCTAAGGGCAGGGGATTCCAAACCAATGGATTTTGGTGTACACTACTATGCTGCCTACCCAAGTCTGAAATGTTTTATCCAAGCTGCTGCTATTTTTAGAGCTTGACAAATAGCAGGCAAAAGGATTCACAAGCATTTGCCCAGAATCACCTTTCCACTCTGTCACCTCTGCACTCCCTTTTGTTTGCTTACGCGGGAACATTCCCTCGAGGGGATTTTTAGCTCACAAGACTGTTTCAGAATGGCTCTTCAGGCACAGCACACACTCACCCTTACACAAGGGCTTCTCTGCACAATCAAGTCTTTGTCACTCGTAATGGAAGCAACTGCCCTGGTCTAACGTTGTAATGATCGAGTCGGGAAACGTAGCCGCGCAGGGCTAGTGCTGCAACAAACAGCAGGTCAATAGGCTGGACTGCAAAATAGTTCGCTTATGAGACATTAACAACTGATGGATTCATACAGATCAAAGCTTGTACAGGGACAGGCTGCGTAGTGGCAAGGGGACTTAGCAATCCTGATAAATTCTCTGACACGAGCTGTTTGTCCAGAACTAATTACTGTCACATTGTTGAAATCAGGACTTTAAAAATCCCAGCCTAGCAGATATAAAATATTTAATTTCGTTCACAGAAAGACAGGACCAGAAATCACTGACATGAAAAATAGCTGTGGGCACATCACTCCTCCACGCCTACCCCAAGAAAAGGCATGTCCTAGCAGAGTTCTAGGTACCAGCTTTTGTAAGCCCAACTGTGGAGTTTTAGGATGAGCTCACTTCCCCTCTTAGTGCCCCAATTTCCCTGGCTATGAAGGGGACAGGTACTCATGTCAAGCACAAGATCAACTGCTTTTGAAAGCACTTGAAGATCCTCAGACCCTACAATAAGCTAGCACATTTCATCCAAACATGCTATAACATCGAAGGTTTGCTAAAGGACTGCTAAAAAGGAAGAATTATGGAGACAGATGAAACTTTGTATGTGATCGTTTGCTTTCCAGGATCTCAAAATCCTTCATGAAAACAAATCTAAGCGCTGCTGCCCCAATTTTAGAGAAGGAAAAAGAAGAACAGAGGATAAGCGACCTGCGTGGGGTGACACCGAGTCTCTCAGTGGAAGAACCCACTATTTAAAAACACCCATTTGGGCTCTAGTGGACTGTTCTGAAAAGATGCTAGAGCTTAACTGCATGTTAATCCTAAACACAGACAATGACACTTTTTTTCTTTATTGATATTTTCTCTGCAGGGTCAGTGCAACTTTTATTTAAAGAAGAAAAAAAAAAGGCACCTAAGATCTAAGAGGCAATTGACTTGGCGAGATAGCTGATCTCAGGAATGCTGAAGCGCACAGATTGCACACAATGAGCGACTTCCCCATTATTCCTGGAGGTTTACGAGTCTGACTCAGTTGTGTGATGTTGTCAGTACTTTTGACTGAATCATGAATATATCCAATTATGTGTGATGCTGACAGAAAAGAATATTGATAGTCAATAATTATAGGCTTTTCAGGCCAACAAAGTAGCTCTTCCCTCTTTTAATAAATTATCTTATGACATCTATCTTAAAAATTGCTATGCCAGGCCTGACCCAGACTGACTCCACTGACTTTCTATCAGATGCCATCTAAACTCACGATTTATAGTTTACTCACAAAAGGATGGTTAATGTTGCGGATTTTTCAGGAAGCGGTGCGGCTTTTCAGCATGCCTCCCTGCCACAAACACCTCCTCCACTACAAATCATGCAGTCATGCTAAAGTCAGGGAGACTAATGTATCTGCTCTGCAAAGGGAAAAAAAAAAAAACCTTGTCCTCTCCAGACTGCTTCCCTTTCCACCCAACCGCGTGGAAGAGTCTTCTGCTGGAAGCACAACAGGAGAGATCAACCCAAATTAGTGAGCCAGGAGTCAGGATGTGAAATGCTTCGAAGCTAAAGGAAGCTGCGATGGGACTTAGAAGAATAGAGATTAGACACCAAATTCCAGCTGACAGTCAGTGGGAAATAGACATTTGCCTCCCCGAGGCATTTCTGCACAGCTTCCCCTAGAGCTGCTATCCACGTTTTAGTCAACTAACTATATCTTGCACAAGAGGTGTTTATTGGCTTTCACTGGAAATTATGGCCCCAAATCGCTTAGGGACATTCGAACACTTCTCTCCAGTGTTTTCTGAGACCAATGAACGCTCTTGCCGAGACTGATCTGGGCAATGCTCACAAGCTGCATCCAACCAAGCCCTTACTCTAGGCTCAAAGAAGATTAAGATTCCCCAGTGGATGCTCCAGAGCAAGATATCTTGCCTTAAAAGGCACGAATAAGCCTACCAGTGCGCCCCAGAACCAGCCCAGCACAGTCAGACTTTATTTGCCAAAATCCAAACTTCTTGCAGAAGCTGTCACCCACCGGATTCTCCTTCCTTTACTGGCTTTTCTGTCCACTTTCTTCTTTATTTTGCTCCGTAACTTCTGGATGGCCAGCCATTGCCTGAGGAATGCCAAACAACAGTTACACAACTTGTAGAGCCACTAGGAAAAGGAACATTAGGTACACTGGGGTCTGAGGCCCTCCCCAGCCCTTCTACCTATTGCATTCACACAAGCGAAGGAGATCAGAACCTCAGGAAAACGAGTCTGAAACTCCAGGTGCCCGTGGTACTGCTTTGCTCCACGGACACGGCATTTAAATAATAATTCTCCTGACTCCAGCCACAATGGGACACAGAGACCAGACCTGCTGATCCTGATGAGACAATCGAAGTTCAGTGAGAATATTCCCTGCAGGGAAACCCATGGAGGCCACAAGCTTGGCTCCATTTTTCATTCTTTCTTGATTACTGAATATTTTTAAGAATCTTTAGAATTAAAAATAAAATCTTTACAAAATATAAATGCTAAAATCTGTAAAAAATGTCTTTACAGGTACTGGTTTTTTGTTTCAGCCTTGATTACTAGAATGACTTCTGTTTTGCATATAGAAAGCCCATAACCGAATAGATGGTCTGCCACATCCTAAACGGATTCTTTAAGTGAGATAGGTATGCTAACTTCATGAACAGAATTACCATGGTGCAGTAGATGCTCGGAATTTATTTCCTCCCTCGGTTTTGCAAAGTATATTGAAATTTACAAGCAAATATTTCTCCCCACCATCTCTGACTTAAACCTGGCAAACCTAGCACGAAGCCCTATATAACGTTCCAACTATTACTACACAAAACTACAAAAGAAAGAAAAGCAATAAGCACTTTCAGAAAGTGCTGCCTCATCTGCGACTGTATTTAGAAGGGAGAGCTCAACTCCTCAAACAGACTTCATCAAGTCAAAGAAGTTTTCAGCAGGGGAAAACTTCTCCTAGTTATACATATTTTTTTTTTTTACGAAAAAGAGCATCATCTTACCTGATTTATACAATGAAAACTCGACATCAGGGAAAAAAATCTAGCAAAATCCAATTACTGCAATCTTAATATAATCTTAATTACTGTAATCTATTTTATTGTAAAGTCAGATAAATGTACAATGTAATCACCACTTAAATGTAATTTTGTCTATATCATGTTAAATTATAGTGAATAGCTTTCCATAATATTCCAGACATACACAAAATAAATTTGACACATTGCACTAAAATTTGGGTAATATTTTACAAGGGTAAAAGTTATTTCACCATCACAAAATTTCCTAGTGCGCTTTCTCCCCCTCCCCACACACATACCCCCCTAGCATTTTTTCAGTGGAGAGCCCTACTCCAGCATTTTCAGCATTCCTCTGCTTTTACACTTTTCTAAATTATAGCCCATGGCTATTTAAATGTACACTGTTCATTAAGTGGTGTTTGCAAGATTCTTTATTTTCTAACTATAGAATTAAACAGAGAAATAAGAGCTTCCCTGCGTGCGTGGAATTATATTTTACTTCGGCATGCAGGGAACATTCCCTGATATTGTTTTAATTGTATCTTTTCTTACAGCAGGGAGGGAGCATACACAGGAATTGCGTTAACATCTCACAAGCGAAGGTTTGCTCCTCTGAAACAATGACAAGTCAGAGCTCGTAATGAGAAACGGCCAAATTCCAGCAGCGGGCAGTCACTTTGTCCAGTTCCCCCCCACTAGGGTCGGTTAAGACACCCCTCTATGGATTCCCTTTGGCTCCCCGAACCACTGAGAGACAGGAAAATCCAAAGTCAGGAACAAGCCTTTTACAACTGGAAAGTATCTTCAGGGGATCGCAGCCAAAGCAGGGCACAGCTCAAAGGCTGGCAAACTCGGAGTCGGACAGTGTGATCCGTAACTAAGGAGTATGTCGCAGAGGATGACTCTCCTGACTAATGTCATACTGGTTTAATAATTTGTTATGCAATTTCTTACACCCAGATGTTTTCTCCAGAGTCTTTCAAAATATTGCCCTCTACAATGGACTGGAAGCCCACAAGTAGTTTTGCACTTCTGGACTGGATTGCAGTGCTGGGATGAAGCTGGTGATGTTACAGACAACTTCCTACTTACCTGCCCATTGCGACCTGGTCATTGGGGTCCAGTGAGGTGGTTTTACGTTCTATAAGTTCTCGAAGGAGCTAGAAGAAAGACAACGATCCAATTTAAAAGCACAGTAGAGACACGCTAATGCAAAGAGGCTCACAGGTTTCTCAGAAGACTTATCACATCATTCATCTCAAGAGAATCTAAAAGGTTATGCAAAGCCAGTGGGGCACAACTTCAGCAACACCAAGCACAAGGAGCCCCACATGGGCAAAGCAAACCGATGACCTTCAGCTTAAGCGGTGGCAAAGGCCTGGAACCCCTGGGACACTGCAAAGCCCCCTCTGGGACTGTCAGATGGGCCAACTGTTCAGCAACTGCTGGTCCTAGGAGCCCAGAGTGAAGTGTACCATTGCACCAAGGGCAAATAGGTGACAAGCTTGGGGGGATGTGAGCAGCTGAGCCTGACACGAGATGGTCGTTTCTCACCCGGAGGGGAAGACTGAAGAACTCCACTTGTATTTCAGAGGCTGGTACTGCTTCTTGGGCTTTTGGGACGATAAAAAAGGCCTGAATCTTCACAGGCTGTTGTGTACACAACTCCCACGGGCAAGAGATCTGCAGGAAGACCTCTGCCCCACAGGTCTCACCCCACACTTCAAGTGGGGTGGGCAGGGGGGGGAACTGAAACACTTCACCAAACAGAAGTCAAGCATTGCTGGGCAGTAACGCTCGCTCTGAGGAACAGCACAGCAAAATAATTTTTATAGCTAGAGCCAGAATGCTCAAGCAGGCTTTTCTATTTCTTTTCGTGTCCTGAGGGTTGGGTTTTGTCCTTTCTGCTTCCTGCAGCCAAAGAATATTGTGAACAGCCTTTTTGGATACTTGACCGGTGCTGTATGTTTATCACCACTCACTGTAAATCGTACGTGCTGTGCCTTGGGTATTAGCCAACATATTAACACAAAGAACAGAAATAAACCCTCTGAAACTGAGGGGCACAGATTGCTTTCTAGATGCCAACATTTCACTATCAAAATTATTGCCTCAGCTCTGATACAGACCAACCTGGAAACCAGAGAGTCCAGGCAATTCCACAAAGATGCTAGAGGAGAAAGGATGAATGACACTTTTCTGCCATGCTATACTTTTGCTCAAGTAGGAGAGCTGGACTGCAATGGTCAATCGAGGTACGGTAACACTCACAGAAAGCAGGGCCTGGGATGCAGCCATGGTCCTGGCTATGTCAGCATCTGGCCCAAGACAGCACGCACAGACATGGCAAGAGGACAAGAAGGAAGCTCCACATCCCCCCGGCAGCTGGGGATGCGTGTAAGAAAATACCAGCTCAAGTGAGACGATGGCATTTCTCAGCACAGCTTAGCTCTTGACCACGACTGTGTTCAGAGCAGCCTGCCCTCAGACGGCTTCCCAGGCGCCGACACTGCCCCACCGAGCGCAGCTGATGCCAAAAGCTGTCCCGGGCACAGTGCTACGTGGGAAACTCGCTGGCCCCCATGGCTTCTGATCACTTAAGTACACTGCTGGAGGGAGGGAGGGAGGGAAAAGGCATGCACCCCACAAAAGAAAAATGCCATAAAGGTAGATGGGTATCATTTTATGATCCTTCTTTTCAAGTGAGAGACAATCAAGCGACAGAGATAATATTTACACCTGTCCACATCTTTCCTCTCCTTCAAGCCATACATCATATTGCCAAAAAAAAAAAAAAGAGTGATTCAAGCATAATTAAAAACCTGCCATGACTTTTTTTCTATTTGCTTATTTTTGGAGATTATTACTGCAGCAATTACATTTTAAAATTCCAGGAAGAGAGGCCACTGGTTTATTATCACTAGAAAACAGCAAGCTGCTTCTCTGCCCTGTTTATCTGATTGATTCCCAACATCTTTCTGGCACACAATCTATCAGTTTATCTCTCCCACTTCATCACAGTCACTTCTGGCAGCTAAATACAAGATCCAAATCCAGTGTTACACAGACATACGACACAGTAAACCTATGTAACACCACTACTCTGTAAACAGCTGCCCTTAAGGCTAAGCAGAAATGGGATCTTGGTTTCTAGTCAATATTCTGTCAAAAGCAAGGTGGGAGGGAGGGTTTTAACAGCAGCGAGAAATGGTGCAGCAAGGTTTTAGTGGTTTCTTCCTGTACTGGCAATGAGAGGTGTTTACTGTCTCCTCTTATCTTGCTTCCTTGGCACAATGCACAGAAAAAACTGCTGAGTAGCAATGGCAGAGGCTAAGGCACGAGAAGACAGTAGCGCACAGACATCCTACGCTCTTA